TAAGATACATTTTAACGCAATAAAATGCGTCTTAACACTATAAATTAATCTAAGATATGTCTTGAGGCCATAAAATACATCTTAAAATATGTCTGAAACTCCATCTAACATACGTCTCAGCTATAAAATGTCTAAATTACATCCTAACGCTATAAAATACATCTAAAGTACGTTTTAATGCCATAAAATCCACCTAAAATACATCCTAAAGCTATAAAATACTTCCCAACTTAATAAAATCCATTAAAACGCGTCTAAACTTCATAAAATAAGTCCTAACACTATAAAAGGAATCTGTTTCCTCCCGTCTGTCTTTCTCCAGTGACTCCGTGACGGTCGATACCGTCGGTTATCGGTTGAACTCTTCTTTTCCTGCTGCATTGTGGGAAACCCTCTACAGAAGCTGTACCGTATCTGAACATCAGACAGACTGTCGGCGTTCGGCGGCTTCTGACCAGGTGTTCAGGAAGAAACGATGTTCGGCTGCTTGAACCAAAGCTCAGTGAGACCAGAACTCTCCGTCCTGATGCCACCTCCTCATCCTGATGCTTCTCTGCTCTATCAGCTCTTCACCTCCCCGTGTTCCCGACCTGCTCCTCCCTCCCTCATCCAACCGACCGTCCACATACAGCTCTGACCCATAACACACATCCGGCCTCCTCTTATTATTTAAATCTGTGCCGACATCGCCTCCTGCTTCCATCCCTCGTCCTCTTCTGACGGCCGAACACGATCCGAAGCAGCAGAAGAAGAAACGAACCCGAGACTAAAGCGAGTCGTGATGCACACGAGCAAACAGAGTCGTGAACAAACAGCGAGTTAAAAACAGGCCACTTCAAGGAGCAATTAGGCTTCAGTCTGCACGGATCAGGTGTTGGTTTGGTTTGATTCAGGCTGAAAGCAGGAAACAGGCGGCTGCAGAGTTCAGTCATCGGCTGCTCAGGACAGAGAAGTCCTGTCAAATGATTCAGCTGAAGTTTGAGAATTTCTGTATTTTCACCCTAAAAAACCTGTAAAGACATTTAAAGGTTCAGCATCTGCAGAGATCAAACTCCAACAGCCGTGAAACGAGGTGACAACACAGAGCTGGAGTTTTATTTCTGGAGATGNAAGCTTTTAAAAGTATTTCTCTGCTGTTTTTGTCAACAGATAGTTTGGAACCCGATGGTGGCTCAGTTTTCAAGATTCAAGATTCAAGATTCAAGGTTCAAGATTCAAGATACTAGACTCAAGGCCTTTACTGGTCACAAACACACTATACACAGTAGAACACACAGTGAAATGTATTTATGTATCTGTTAGAGATGAATGGGTAAATGATGGATGGATGGATGCTAGATAGATGGATGGATGCTAGATAGATGGATGGATGGATGGATGGATGGATGGATGGATGGATGGATGCTAGATACATAGATGGATGCTAGATAGATGGATGGAAGGAAGGATGGATGG